TAACTATTCATGAGGTAACTCAATTGGTTCCGACTCAAAGTCACGCCAGGGGCTCTAATGAGTAGCACTGCACGACAAATGACATAGCAAACGTCGCCACAGAAAACATAATTATTTAGACACATATCCTTCTATAATGTATTCTGTGGTATAATATTGCCTAATAAGAAATCGAAACGCAACAAACAAATGTCAAGTTGCATAATACTGTAAAGAAGATTGCAAATTTTTACTAATAATAGTTTACAACAAATTACATATTATAATAAACAACAATGATGGAAACTTACCATCGATATGTTCCTGCAGTACGTTAACACACATTTCATAGAGTGTTGGTATTTTTCCTATGACCTTGTTGCCTGAATATACTTTGGTTCTGAAATAAAGGGAAAACCACGTCAATTACGTAACAATAATTTCACAATAAATATAATTAAAATTAGGTACTAAAAATATCACTGAAAGAAACTAAAAATAATAAAACAGTTAAAGTCCTTTTTGTTGATATTACCACATGCATTTTACGTAGTTTTTATACTTGCCTCTGAATATTTTACTGTGTTAAATGTAGGTACAATAAATTAAATTTACCTTTGGTTTTTAGATGTAATAACATGATTCATGGCTTCCTCATCGCTGAAATGTGGCAGTGGTCGAGGTGGCGGCCGTGGTTTGTAGTTGGGCGATATTTCTGGTAGTGCTGAGATCTCTAGCGCTGGTAATGGCGCTAGCTTCGCAGTAGGAGCTAGGAGCGTTGCTGGACTTAACTGTGGAAAAATAACTTACGTGAATATTGGTTTTACTTGGGGCTAACATAATCATCGAAAAGTGGTGTCATATGTAATCCAATAGGGACTACAACTCTTCCGAAAATTAACACGTCAACTATTTTGTGCTACATCTACAGCATGGTATTTTTCCAAGAGGTTTCTATTATACGGGTTTTGGGTACCGTCATTATAGACACAATTAAAGAACAATAGGTTGCGGTCACTGGTGTCTTCGCGGTGTTTGACAGTTTAATACCATGAAACTATTCAATTTAAAAGGCCTGATAAGGTATCTCACGGCTCAGAGAACCGCTAAATCACGTCATTACATTATAATGCGACATCCATCAAAATGATTCATCTCATTTAGTTTAAGGAAAATCCTTACACAGCAAATTGCACTCCAGCTACATAATTTTAATAATATAACATAACAGGAAAAGTTTGTAGAATTTATCTAAGCATTTGAATGTAATAGTAATTCATTTTAACAAACTGTAAATATAAAAAAAAGGGAAATGTTTGCTTACATCATTGGGTGAAACGGAGTCCTTCAGTGTTCTCTTTTTTGGCTTGGCGGGACTGATCATTCCTAGAGCTTCAGCAAAACTGGCACCTGAAAGAATGTTTAAGATTAATTACTAAACTATACACTATCTAGAATTTTAAATAATATTACTTAAAAAAGATTACTACAAACTCCTCGGAAGTCTAGAAACATTTATTATTTTCAATAAGTTTCCATTGGTTCATTCTTATTTCCAAAGAAAATAGGTATTATGTACACATATATCTCTACTGAAATTGATTTAATTTGATATTAAATATGGCATATCAAGTTTAAAGAAATATTTACCTGAGCCGCAGTCGATTCCATCATCACTATCCTCCATGGTTTGTATTTGAACTTTTTTCTTTGGTACTTCATCATTCTTACTGCTGCTTGACTTACTCTTGTGTGAAGAGGAACTGGATTTGTGCTTCGACTTCTTGTCTGCTTTCTCATCATTCTTTTCAGAATGGCTTTTACTGCTACCATTCGACTTGCTCTCACTGGACGAAGAATTTTTCTTCTCACTACTATGACTACTTGATTTCTCCTTAGAAGAACTACTTCTTTCTTTCGACTTTTCCTTACTTGAGGAACTATGCTTTTCCTTAGAACTACTACTATTACTAGAACTTTCCTTAACCTTGTGTTTTGACTTTTCAACATCTCTTTCAGATGAACT